GGGGGCCTGCATGTCAGCGTGGGATGACAGCCTTGTCACCTCTCATCTGGAAGCTGAGGGCTCTGTGCTCTGGTTCATACTCCTTCCCACTAGCTAATCCTTAACCAGGCCTCCACACTGCTTCTCCTTGTTCCAGTGCTCAATTTTGCTGCTGTGGCATTTCTCAGATCTCCATGAAGGCTCAGGTGACCTCAGCCCTTGTCAACTCTCTCCCTCCTGCATCTCGGTAAAGTACCCATACCTTGGACAGTGATGGTCACAGGCTGGGATGAGTGCTGCGTGTATCCTATGTTTCCCGTGCAGTGGTAATCACCACTGTGGCTGTGGTTTGCTCGTAGGATGGAGAAGTTGGAATCCAAACGGGAAAACTTCTTGGATTTTCCATTTTGATAGAATGTGACTTTGACCAGAGGCTTGTCCCTCCAGCTATGGCACCTCAACGGGATGGTTTCCCCCTCCTGGAACTTCAGGTGAGGGGTCTGAAGCAGCAGCCACCCTGAAAGACACAAATAGACCACAGGACCAGGAGGTCTTTGTTCAACTCTGAGACCCAGACCATACTTACTGGTGGGACATGACGTGCAGAGGAAGCAACATAAGGCTGAAATCAGACTGTTCAGTACTCTAATTCTGGCTCCATCATTTATGAGATCTGTACACTTTCCTCATTCTTGAAAATGGGCATGGATAATGTCATTTTATCTATAATAATTTCTGGCATGACAGGCCACTACGGGAAGAACACGAGCAACCTCAAGAATCTAGTCTGATTGAGGAGATGACATGTGAGGAGGACACAGCAGAGACATATGTCTTTGGGGACCGTAGAAAGTCATGAGCTTAGAACAAATGTTACCTACTGAGTGTCACTTGATAAATTTACGTGAGGAATGCTGGGAAATTTGGAGCATTGCTCCAGCATGGTCTTTGTCTGAAGGCAGAGTGTCACAGGCAGGTCATTAGCTTACTGTGTCCTTTTTTTTCTTTTTTTTTTGAGTCGAAGTCTCACTCTCTTGCCCAGTGGCATGCTCACAATCACTACAACATCAATTTTCTGGGCTCAGAAGAACCTTCCACCTCAGCTTCCAAGCAGCTGGAGCCACAGGAGCGCACCACCACATTCAGCTAATTTTTTGATTTATTACAGATATGAGGTCTCGCCAATTTGCCCATGTTGTCCTCAAACCCCTGGGTTCAGGCAATCCTCTTGCTTTGGTCTCTCAAAGTGCTGAGATCACAGGCGTGAGACACCACGCCTGGCTGCTGTGTACTTTTGAGGAACATTTGAGAATCAGATGAAGGAAAGAACTAAGTAAAGAGTAACAGTGGCAATATTCATCAGAATGCCATTGTAACTTTTCTTTTTGGAGAGACTACTTTTGTCAGTTATTTTGTAAAGATATTGACCTCTTCAGCAAAACGTTTACTAAGCTCGGCCCTGTTTCAGGTACTGAAAATACAAACATGGATAAGACATAACTTTCACCTCAAGTTGCCCACAATCTGGTGGAAGAAAAGACAGAACAGTACTCAGCACCATGAGAACATGGAGAAGGGGGAAGGGGGAAGGGGGAAGGAAAATGCCAGTTCTCACCATAACCGTACAAGGGAGACATTGGTCACCTCAAGAGCAGATGAGGAAGCTGAGATCCAAGGGTTAAACGAATTCATCATGTTTATGTGGCTAGTAAATTTCCAGGGCTAGGAAATTCGATTGTGGCTTGTTTATGCTTTTCAATACTGCCATAAAAATGGAAGAATTTTATGGAGTTGGGATTTCCTTCTGCTTCTCTGACACTCAGCTGCCTGTTTATGGCCCTTGTAACCTTCTTGCTCAATCCAGACTGAGACAAAAACAACCATTCATATATACTGAGGAATTTGTTAGGAATTTCCACCCCACCACACATCCAAAACTGAAGGGTGGGTGAAATGGGAAATGAGTGGGCAACTCACAGCAATGCTTCTCAGTAAACAGGCTACCCTTTCCTGCAAACCCCCGCCGTGTAAGCAGATTCAGATTTCACCTCTCCGGGTCCTCCCGGAGCCTCCCCGGGTCTTTCCTCCACTGACCAGAAAGCACGTCCAGGTGCACAGGTTCACTGAGGCTGGTTTGGCCCGTCTGGCACCTGTAGTCCCCACTGTCACTGTTCATGGCCTTAAACGTGAAGCTGGGCTGGACCTGGGTGGGGATGGGACTCCCATTGTGGAACCACCGAGTGGAGTCATTCCCAGGGATGTGGGCCCCCCAGCATGTCAGGGTCACGGAGTCCTCCTGGAGCACGTTGATCCATGGGGGCTGGATTTTCACCACAGCCTTCGAGAGAGCTGCAGAGGGACAGAGAGAGGAGGCAGTGTGAGGAAAAGGAACCCCCAAGAGCCTTAGTAAGCCCGGAATCAGCACCATGGTCCTACTGGGGGAATCAAGAGCAGAGCCAGGCTGATTCTGACACTGAAGACAATTCCTCTTGGTCATACATCCCACCACAAGGGTCCAGAAACCCAGGTACTCCAGAGAGCTCAGCAGATCCTCATAAGAAAGGGAGGGAGGGGGCCAAGGGAAACACCCAAGTAATGTATGTACTTCACCCAGAGATATCCCAACCAGTTCCCCACCCTTCTCTCCTCCCCCACACATCTCACACATACACATTCCTTTGGGACTTACTTTTCTCCCCTGTAACCTGAGGCATTTGTACTCTAGTGGAATCAACTTTCTCCAGGGCTAGCTGAAGACAAGAGGGTACTCACTTTGGAGATGTCTGGCATGGGAATCAGACATCAGGTTTTTGTTCTGACCTAATGTCATTCTTTATTATTTAGGGAGGGGATCGAGATGACCTGTCCTCCTCACACCCAAGCACAGGGTAGCCTCTGTGACCTCAGAAGAATAGAGAGAGAGAGAGAGCGAGAGCGAGAAGCTATCGGGCTCGTACTGTGGTGGAGGAGGCTGAGTGGTGTAGATACACAAACGACCAGCAAGGCTCACTCCACCAAGTCTCACTCCACCAAGTTGCCACCAGGGGCATGGAGAAACAGACCTCCTTCTGTCAGGGAACAGGTCTTGAAGCCCTCAGACACAAGCAAAGCAGAGGATTTGCCAACACATGGAGCAACCTATGCAGATCATGTGACTTTGTATGTGCCTGAATTGTATTTGGAGAGAGGAAACTCTTGATTTTATTCGTATCAGTACCAGAACAGCTGAAGCACTTGTGTACAATGGCTGCCCACCACCTGCCTCCTTGGGAGGAAAACAAGGAAGGAACGAGGGAGAGAGGCCAGAGCATCTTCTGGGAGCAATTACCTCTCCTGGCCCTGACCTGGTCCTGGGCTCGGCTGCTGGTGCCTTCAGAGCACCTCCAGACAGACTACTGGGAAGATAGGAAGCAGGCAGCTGGGGAAGGAGAGGGTGTGGATGGCGTACTCACCAGATGTCCCAGCAACAGGAGCTGGAAGACAGAACAAAAAGGTCAGCTCAGAGTTGAACATTTGCACTGAGATGTGCCCATCTTGGTTTGGATTCTGCACAGGCTCGGAGCACCCTACAGCACAGCCTTTACCCCGTGTCCCCCATGTCCCCTTCAACTGCCTGAACGAAGTGCACTTTTTTTTTTGAGTCAGAGTCTCACTCTGTTGCCCAGACTGGAGTGCAGTGGCATGCTCATGGCTTGCCACAGCCTCAAACTCCTGGGCTCAGGTGATCCTTCTGCCTCAGCCTCCCAAGGGCACCTGCCACCATGCCCGACTAATTTTTTTATTTTTTTGTAGAGACAAGATCTCATTATGTTGCCCAAGCTGGTCTTGAACTCCTGGGCTCAAGCAGTTCTACTGCCTCAGCTTCCTAAAGTTCTGGGTTTACAGGTATGAGCCACCAAGCTCAGCCTGAAGTATACTTTCAAAAAGACTCGAAGCTCCTTTCCCATAGACAGAAGAAAATAAAATAAAATTATATAACACCTTCTTCCATCTGTTTTATGACACTTTCCTTTGGTTTACCACTTTTGCATGATTAAAATAAAAATCCCTTTGGAAAGAGGTCCTTATAGGGCTTTACAAATTATTTATGCTTCAGGAAGATGATTTTGCCAGAGTCAACACTCCCAGCAAGTTGCAGCCCAACTTCTGCTTGATTTCTGCTCTCTACTCAAGCACCTCCAATAATGAGGGACGAAGCTGAAAAGGGAGACAGAAGCCATACTCTGGAGGGCTCCTAATGCCAGAATGTGTGACAGTGGGTGACAGCATATACTGAGCTTAAATATTTACTCCACTACTGCTAAGGGACCTTGCACAAATTTCTTAACTTTTCTCTGCTTCAATTTTCTTGCTTGTAAAGGGAGGAAATGACAGCAATGCCTACCTAATAGAGTTGTTGAAAGGATTTAATGTGATAATCCAGATAAGGCATTTAGTGTGCTACCTCACATGTGGTAAATTTTAAATAAATATAAACTAATGTTTAAAAAGTTTGCTCTTTGGTTCAATAAACTTACAGCTTTCTTAGCTGCCACTTGGAATTGTCAAATTGAGCTGAATGTGTTATGTCAGATAGATTAGAACAGGGGAAATAGCAGAGATAAATTAAGAAGGAGACTTTTGGCCGAAGGCAGAGACTCACACCTATAATCTGGCACTTCAGGAAGTTGAGGTGAGAGGATTGCTTGAGCCCAGGAGTTTGAGACCATAACAAGACCTTGTCTCTACAAAAAATGAAAAAAATTATCCAGGTGTGGTAGCTCACACTTGTAGTCCTAGCTACTAAGGAGGTCAGGGCAGGAAGATTGCTTGAGCCCAGGAGTTCAAGACCAACCTGGACAACATAGCAAGACTATGCCTCTACAAAAAATTAAAATAATAGCTGGGAATGGTGGTACATGCCTGTAGTCCCTGCTACTTAGGAGGCTGAAGCAGAAGGAGTACCTGAGCCCAGGAGGTCAGGGATATAATGAGTCGTGATCACACCACTGCACTCCAGCCTGACTCAAAAATAAAAATGAAAACCTCCAAAGCAGCCACCCACCACTGTCTATATCCTTCAGTCTATATTTGCCTTCCTTCCCTCAATCTCCATCAAGTTTGAATTCAATGACACCTCACTATAATCAGTCACCTCCTTACAAATTCCCTTAACTCCCTTGCCCTTCTCTGTCTGATATAAGTGGATGACTAGGAAAAAGGCAGCTGTGCTCATGCAAACACAAAAGTTAGGAGAATAATATTTGTAAGGAGATGACGATAAGTTGGATTTTGGACACATTTTGTTTTTTAGCTGACAAATCAGTTTGGAGGTGTCCAACCAGCAAGAGGAAACATAAAAGTATACCTGACAGAAACAAACAAGAGAAGCAGTTATTGGCATAGAAGTGATAGATAAAACTTGAGTATGTAGGATTGGCAAGGGGGACATTGCAGTGGATAAGAAAGAAGAGAAAAAACAACAAAGAGATAAAGACAGGCAAGGGAAGTCACCAATCATGCATTCAGGCCACATCCAACAAATAGTAATGAATACCAAATGTGATCCCACCCAATGAACTCATTGTGAAAAACACAAAGACCTTGGGATTTAGCTCAGGAAAACTGTCATGTTCACTCAGTTTCCAATTCCTAGAACAGTGCCTAGATCTAGAATTTAAGGTTAAATAAGACCGCTTGGAAAATTGGCAGGAGCAGAGGTGTTGAAAACAGAAACTGCAGGGTCCACATTCCCTGGCTATAGAGTAAGATCCACTGGAGATGCAGTGAGGAACACAGTTAACAGGTAGAATTGGAGATTTTGCAGTAGGCAGTGGAAAAGCACAGAAGGCATCTAGGAAGTGAAATGACTTAGCCATAGCTGTCCCTGAAGATGCCACGGCCTCGGTGTGCATCACGGATTCAAGGGAGGGGAGGCAGGAGCAATCAAGACCTGATCGGAGAGTGTTGTGAAAATTGAGTTGTTGAGTGATAAAGACCTCAGTGTGGAGGCCCCAGTGTGAAAGAAAAAAGATGCAGTCAATCCTTGGTGGCTTAGCAAGAGGCAAATGGAAGGACGTACCAAAGATCTCTTCCAGGAGTCTTGCCCAAGAAACTGGCTGTTGGTGGCACTGTTAGCAGAGCTAGTGGAGCACATCAGCTCTCTAAACCTGAACTTCCCCACAGTGCTCACTCTACATTCTATTCTATGTTAATCCATTGCATCTCACTCATGGGGGAATACTCTCTCTCCTATAGCCCAATACCATCGGCATTGAGAGCCAAGGACTCCCAGATCTGACCTGAATTCACTATCAATCATAGCACGTAACTTCGAGGACTGGCTGTATACCATCCTCTGTAATGTGACGGTGGAGGCCCCAGGAATTGAGCTTGGGGCGAAAGCCTTACCTAGCCTCCCCTACACTTTTCCATCCACCCAATATCATTGATCCCTGTTCCCTGTCAAACAGCTGAGGACATGGTCACAGAGCAACCCTCCATCTTGACCTTGGATCCTGACTTTCTCATTGATCACAGCTAGGTCCTACCACCCATGTTCTGTTCAGTAAACAAGGCAGAAGACATGTGTGATTTCTCTGGTCCCACAACTGACGATTTCAAAATTACCCAGGTTGGTGTATTCCCAGAGTCCCTGTTCCCTGATAACCCAGATCTTCCTGTGCTTCTGCCCAGGAGAATCTTCTTACACATAAAAAAGAATATGTTTCGGCTGCATGAAGAAGTTTCAGGGGCAGAGAGAATTGTCACTGCCTCCTCCCCCGCAAAAACGCATCTTATAGTTTCCTTTCCATTCCTTGTCTAAGGCAGCACTAGCACTTCTACCTAAGAATTGGTCCCATGTGAAACACAAGCTTCAAAGAGGGAAAATACTCTGGTCACTCATCTATCATTCAAATGTGGGTTACTGGGTTTTTCTCAGAGCAGGTTCTGATGTGAAGAGTGACAGAGCATCAGGTACCTGCACGTCCAGTGAGACTGGGTAAAAGACACTAAGAAACCCAATCTCTGCTACAGTTGATGACTTTCCAAAGCCAGCAGGGCTGTGAAAGTTTGATCTCCATCAGCCTGCCTTTACCCTCCTGGTTGTCCTGGCATGCTTTCTATGCCACCCCACCTCCTTGCCCAACCTCAGCCCCAGCCAAGGTGTTCCCACTCATCTCTTCCTCCTGAGGTCCTTGACTCACCCAAGAATAGCACAGCTGTCCACAGAAGCACGTGGCCCAAAGACTGAGAGGGCTTGAAATCAATCCAGTCACTCCCAGTGGCAAGGAGGGATAGGAATGAGGGGATCCCCATCTTCCGCTGGAGCAAGCTGACTCCCAAGGCAGCACGGCAGGCACAGGCTTTGCTCAAGTTTTGGCAAATAACACTCCAGAGGACAAATTCTAGAGTCTGAAAGAGGAAGTGAAAACAAATGTTCTGTTTTATCATAGGCTCCTCCCCTTCTATCCTCTTTCCTCTTAACTGTGCCCTCCTAGACGATTCAGAGCTTCCCAGAATAAATCTGGTTCATCTCAGTTCAAACTTACACATTTTTAAAACTGGGAAACAACCTCCCTCTTCTTCCTCTAGGGCCACAGCTGCCCTGGGCCTCTGGGGAAGGAGGGCAATGGCCACTAAAACTCAGCTCAGGATCTCCTGTCTTAGCCTCTAGCCTCCTTAGAAAAGGTGATGGAGGACAGTGTACTGGCACTCTTCTAGTACTTCTGCTTCCACTTGAAGACCTAGACACTGGAATCTGGACTCCCCCTTAAATTGAAGACAGGAGCTCGAGGTCACCTACCATCATTTGATTTTCTCTCTTATCATAATCCATGACTCACTTTTGGATTGTGGAACAAGGACAAGGAGGTATGTCAAGGTGGCCATAAGATGACCATACTCATCCTCATTATTCTCCTCCCCCCTTTATTTGTTTATTTACCCATTCATTCATCTAATGAATATCTCAATACATATCTATTATCCCAGATTTGTGCTTTGGTTTGTTATCGTCATCATTTTTGCCACCCTCACTCCCATCACTGCTCTCACCCCTGCAGCCTGGTGGAAAAGTATGGACTTGGGAGCTGTGTTGAGTCTAGGTTTGAATGCCAGCTAGCTTGCCAGAGTTTTAGGTTTCAAATCTATAAAAGTATAGATTATCATGCCTACCAGTTAAGCAGTTTCTCAACCTCAGCACTACTGACATCTTGGGTCAAATGATTTTTGTTGTGAGGACCTGCCTGTGTATCGTAGGATCCTATGCAGCATCCCCAGCCTCTACCCATCAGATGCCAGGAGCATCTTCCAGCTGTGAAAACAAAACAAAACAAAAATGTCTCCAGGCATTGGGAAATGTTCCCTGGGGGCAAAATTGTCCCTGGTTGGAACCACTGTACTCAAGCCTTTTGAAAAATAAAAGAGAATATGAGGACTAGCAAAAGTGCCTTCAACATGAGTGCCTTCAAAGTACATCATGACTGACCAGTGAATTTTGGTTTCCTTTTCTTGCTTTCTGTCATCATTCTCATCACCATTTATTTACTCTTAATATCCCTAGAACATGTGTTGCTCTGGAATCCCTCTTGGGGTCCTCTCCTGGGTACTCTTTCCCAAATGCCCTCTCAGGAAGCAAGCTGTAACTCAAAGAAATGACAATGTGAAACCATCTTCTCACACTCTGTTGTCTGCAGAAACCTTCCACAGCCCCACCCACTCTGCCATAGGCTTTTACTATTGGCCCCATCCTACCCGCCCCCTCCAGTCTACCTCTAGACTTTATCTGACTTTTAGGTGAAAAAATGTTTTTGCCAGTGATGAGATGCCAATTAACTGATATCAATACTTTATAAATATCATTAGGAACAAAAGAAAATACGTAGTTACACACTAAGAAACCAAAATGGATAGTTACTGTGTAAGCATATAAATGCTTACTGTGGAAGAGACACTTGACTTATATTATCTCTAATTTTTAGAGCAATACCAGAAGATAAATATTGCCATCCTCACTTACCCATGAAGAAACTTAGCTTTGTCCAAGACTATGTGGTTAATGAGTGGTAGAGTCAGAATCAGGTCTACCTGATGCTAAAGACTCCATGTTTCCTATATTCCCCCAACAGTGTGCAGGGACCACCTACAGGCTTTGTGTGAGTTATGAGTATACAGAACCACTGAGTGGTCCTCAGATCTAGGGATAGTCTGCTGCTGTGGCTGTGAGCAGCTTCATTTGTTTACAACATTTGTGTGTAATTTTCTTTGTGTGCCATGATGTGAAAATGGTCAGGAAGCTTTGCACACTGCACATGCGACTTCCCTGAATTGTCTCAGGCTCCAGACACCACTACTAGACATTTTGCCAAGATAGAAGAACCAGACAATATCTTTTGGACAACTTGTAAAACGAGATAGTAGCAGAGTCAGGTAGGGCACTTCCAGGGACACAGAAACAGAAATGAGTTGCTTTCCCATCACAACTGGGAAAGCACAAAATACAAGGAAATGTTTCTAAAAGAAGATGGTTACAAATGTAGAAGCATGTCATTTAGTAAAACTGAAGCATACCAATCAGAAAGGAAAACTCTTTGAAAGAAGCTATTTGATGTACAATGTGTATTTGGACAAGGGGAAAAATATGAATAACCCAAAAATCATGAAAGTGGTCGGGCGCAGTAACTCACATCTATAATTCCAGCAGTTTGAGAGGCAGAGGTGAGAGGATTGCCTGAGTCCAGGGGTTCAAGACCATTCTGGGCAACTTGGCGAGATCTCATCTCTACAATAAATCAAAAAAAGTGGTCGGTTGTGGTGGCGCATTCTTGTGGTTCCAGATACTTAGAAGACTGAGGTGAAAAGATCACCTGAGCCCGGCAGGTTGAGACTGCAGTGACTGTGAGCTTGCCTCTGCACTCCAGCCTGGGCAACAGAGTGAGCGAGACTTCGGGAAAAATAATCACGAAAGCGTAACAATTAAGAAGATTTGGAGACATACCCAGATCAAACTTCTTACCCTACCAGCTGTGTAGTCTCAGGTGTATTATTTATCCTTTCTAAACTCTGTTACCTCATCTGTAAAATGGAGATTACATGAGTACTCACCCTACAATATTGTGAAGATTAAATGAGAAAACCCATGAATAATGCTAAACAAAAAATCTGAGATATACTTTTAGTCTTTAGCATTATTATTATCAAAAGACTAGAAAAGTCTAGCTGTTGCTTCTAGTGGGGACTGGTATTTATAAACCCACTTTGGAAAGAGTAGATAAATGCTATAAACTGAAATGGTTCCAACTCTTCATGTGCTCAGATTCCAGCCTCTGGATTCAGAATGCACTCTTTTCTCTTTGCTCTGCTTGATTGGGTTTTGTTTCTCTTCCTCTTAATATCCTGACCACAAGATCTGAGGATCGCTGTGATTGTTTTATCAATCCTCTCTAGGGTTTCCTCGTTTATAACCACTTCCGTGTAATCTGAATCACCCCAGGAGATGTAATCAGCTGCCCACCCCAAAGAAGGAGGAAGCTTGGGAGGGAAGAAAAGAGAAGAAATGATTGAATCATGGAGGTTCTGGTTTGGGGGTCTCAACCAGGTCCCAGCACCAGCATCACCTCTTTGGGGAATTCAGCATTGTCATCTGAATTCATTCAAGCATTGTCATCTCTAACTATGTATTAGAAATACAAATCCCTAAGCCACGTGAATGATTAACTTCAGAGTATGGATTTGTTCACCAGTCACTTTTCTTTCTTTTTCTGAAAGCAGGATTTATTGAGAGGACAGAAAAGTTCCCACAGTCACAGTGGGAGGGGACCTGAAGGAGTTGCCCTCCAGTCACTTTTCTTTAAAGCAGCAGTATGCTGAAGGTTTTTGATGAGAGGAGGAGAAAGGAATAAATGGGAGGAAAGCTATATCTAAGGAAGCCAAGACCCTTGACAAAATGAGAGGCTTAGACAACAAAAGGCTATTTATCACGGAGAACCTAGGTTAAGAAGGAAAAGAGGAGGCCCTGTTTTAAACCTACCCATGCTACTGTGTGGTCTTGAACGAAGTCCTGCTTCTCTGAACCTCAGCAAATTGAGGGAGATGAACTCTTACTCAGATGTGTCTTTTGCAAATATTTTCTCTCTGTCTGTGACTTGACTTCTCATTTTCTTGACAGTGTCTTTTTTCGAGCAGAAGTTTTTAATTTTAATAAAATCCAGCCATCAATTATATCTAATCTAGATTGTACTCTTGGTATTGTATCTTAAAAGGTGGTGACTTTTCTCCATTGGATTGCATTTGCTTCTTCATCAAAGATCAGTGGACTATATTTATGTGGATCTATTTCCAGATTCTCTATTCTATTCCTCCGTCTATTCTCTTACCAATAACTGGATGCTCTTCAAGAATTCTTCCCACTTTCAAATTACAGCCTTCGTTATGTATGTGCATTTATTCAGTTCTACTTTGTATATAGTGGAAAACTTAAGTCCACTTTGAAACATCTAGTCTTTCTAGATGCCTAAAAGTGTACAACATATGTTAAAGTAGAAGACTAAAGCAACACCCTTGACATATTTTTTTGTTATTTCATAGGAGTGTTTGCATTTAGAAATATAATTGTTAAACTTGATGTTTTCAAACATATGCTGACTTCTCACTGGATAGTGGAGGAGGAATTATGCAGATAGAAGCATTCTCTGCCTGTGAGTTAGATTAGGTCAGATGGTTTAACCATTGTTCTGCATGTGCATTTTAGTTAATACTGCTGTATATGAAAGAATAAAGTCCTGGTGTTCAAATTATGTTAAGAGTAGAGGAAGTAAAATAATCCCTTTATAAACGTCCTTTCATTAGTTTTTAGGGAGGACTGTCTTCTGGGAGTAAACTTTCGTAACCTACATTTTGGGGCTCTGGAATGTGGAAGAGGAGAGAAAGGGTGAAGGGAAGGGTCTTTGCTAGGACTGCCATACCCAGAAGATTTTTTAGATTATAGCCATGGGTCTATACATGCCTTTTTAGTAAAGTGCCTGTGTCTATAGTGGACAAACTTGTTATCTTGCAACATCTAAGCTTTATAGGTGTCCTGGGGCAACAACATATGATAAAAAGTAGAGCTAGTGAATTAGCCAGTGTGTGAATAGTTTCATTATAATTGATAGAAAAGTTGTGTCTTGGACATGGAATTGTTAACACCTCTGAGCAGTGTGCATCATAACTTGTTCATTAGGTTGGCAGCTGAGGAACAGAAGAAAGTGTGAAGGGAAAGATGTATGCAGATATGTTCATATTTCCACTTGTACTGTAGCCATTGATGCATGTGCATC